AGAAGGCAGAGCTAAATGCAACCAAGCACATGGGACATGTGGGCAGCTTTATCTGGAGCTATGAGGCAGCTGGTTTCAGAGAGAAGCAGTCACACCTTTAAGCAATGACTCCAAGTCTGAATCTGTGCCTTCTATAAACAGCCTTCCTGTTCTTTCTGTTTGCTTTCATAAGGAAAGCAAAATTAGCAAGGAATTCTTCAGCAGTGTTTCTGGGTCAGTTTTCTTATCAAATAATCCTGAAGCCTGTTAGGCATCAGTTTTAAAGCAAATCAAATATTACAGGTTTAAAGAAAATAACTTTCTTCACATGGAAAATAATGGCTATCTAATATGATGGCCATAGAAAATGCATTTTTGAGGCTGATAAGATAAGCTGAAGTAAAGTGGGCAGAAGGAAAAGGAGTTGGAAGAAGTGGCCTCACCAGTGATAAACAGTGGAAGATCAGCCAAAGTGCACCACAAACACTCTAGATGCTGCCACCTATGTTACCAAAGGTACAGAATTATTCACATACCTGGCCAATAACAGTTACAAGCACACTCAACTGAGATGAATGCCCGCATGGACAGCAGCACAAAGAAAGCCAGGATAAAGAGGATAAAACTGTTAAAGGAAGTAGTTAATGGGTATTAATTTAAAAATTAGAATTGAAAAATAGTTTGTCATTCCCAATGGCCAGTGCGGTGTTTGGCTTAACTAAACATGAACTTCTTGTTTCTGTGTCCAAAATTTATTGGTTCAATTTTGTAGCCTAACAATCAGGACAGCACAGCTCACAAGACACAGTGGCTCGCGCTTAGCATAGACAGAACAGATACTTCTAACGTGATGCTAGGCAGAATACTAGGTACTTGCTTGTGCAACTGGAAAGCAAATAATGGAAAAGCAGTCTGAATGCATCATTTAAAGTATTTAAATTGGAAGAAAGTCAATCTATGGATTTAAAGTCACTTTACAGCTCTTGAAAAATTGTAGTCCCCCAAGCTGAGGTTATCGATGCATCTTATTATATGACTCATTGGATTTCTTCTAGAGCTACTGGGTTTCTTATATGAAATCAACCTTGAACAGAATTATTTGCTGATAAGGTGATTGTAAACCCTCACTGAAACAAATTCAGCATATCTGTGGGCTTTCTAAGAGTCATAATGGCTTTTTTTTGGCTACGCATTATTATCCCTATATACTTCCAAAACCTTTCAAAGTAGTTCTGACATGGGCTAATATGATTCAAGCCAATCATAAAGTAACCCTAATTACTTTAGCAAAAGGTTTTGATCTGGGAGCAGTAAATCTGGATGTCTTCAATCAGATGTTTTTACTGCAAATGAAGTGATAACCTCATGGCTGGTGTCAGGACTTGAGATCTGGAGACTTTGCTAGTGAGAGCTCTACTGCACACAAGCAATTGCAGAATTCCCAGAAAGCACCAAATGTGCCAGAGAAGGGAATTCTCAAGGCTGGCATTTCCCATGTTCTAAAATTTTTGATGATGTCTCTGTCTTGTAAAGCATCCAGAATCCATGCTGGAATGAGGCTGAGTAATTCTTAATGCCCAGCAGCAGACACACATCTGCTTTCAGTGCACAATGCACCATTCCTTTTACAGCCTGAAGACGCATAGCGGTGGCCCCAGTCACACTTCCTATGCCAAGCTCATGCACACATCACAGTGTCCCAAGCATCTTGTGCTATTTCACTTAGACATGAAGGAGTTGCTTCTTTGGCAGCACAGCTCTCTCCTCCCTCCCTGGCTCTGGCTCAGCACTTGTGTCTGGGACCATAATTCTCATCCCCCATACAGCAAGCAGTATTAAACTGGCTAAGTCATGCTGATATAAAACACACAAGAGGAAGAGGCACTGTGTATTTTGCTGGTTCCCTTGTGCTATTCCACTTGCCTTTGACATTTGGCACATGTGGAAACATTCATAAATATAGCAAATCTCCAACGTTTCACTCATAAAATAACTGTTTGGTAGACAACTTGTTTAAAGATAACCACACATACATGAGATTGGTATGTGCTACTGAGCTTTGACTCATGAACTGGGCATTTTTTATCCAAACAGTTCATCTGCAAAACAAGTCAAGGAACAAGCTTAATAATCAGCCTACCACAATCATCAAATGAAAATATCAGCACTACAGTGGAGTTTAACTGTATCAAATCATTTTATCTAAATACTCAAAATAACTTTGATTAAGCAATTTAAAAACTTAAATAGTGGATAAACTTTAAAATGAAATCAACAGTAAAAAAACAAAACAAAGCCAACACCTGTTTTTTCTTAAACTTCTTTTGTTTAGAAATTTTTCCATAATAGATTCACCTTACTTTTGCTGACATCCAAAACATATAGAACATGCTACATAAAATACCCTAGAGAGAAGCAAATTGGCCTTCTACTGTTAGCCAACTTAATTTTATTGGTATTACAATGACACAGGATGCCATCTTACCATCTGTATCCATGGCCGTTAAGGATACAGCTTTTACTAACAGGAACTATAGAGAGAGAGCAGGTGAGCTCACAACTGTCATTCATTGGTTACCTTTTAACAAGACTCATAGCATCACTCAAGTTGAAAGAACCCTCAAGAGATCTTAGCAGCAATTTGTTTCTAAAAAAACTGCTCAGTACATTATTCTTTTGGTGATCACCACCAAACACTGTGATGAGCAGATCCTTGAGCTATCAGAGACAGAGCTTGCCTGATGCTTTCTCCAGACAATTCAGTTCATCTCCCAAATTAATTGTTCAGCCATCAGTTACTACAGAAGCAGTTGATTTTGGCGGGACCAGACTTCAGAGCCTTCAGACAACTCTCCTATCAGTTCCCTGCTTTCCTAAGGGGTCTACCTACATTGTACACTTGGGCAGTGATCTGCAGGCTGATAAACCAAGGTGCAGAACTTGGACAGTAGATTTTTTGGATTAGTAGAAGCTATCCAAATGAATGCATAAAGGTCAACTTCTTCGTATTTGGAAATTAGAAGCAACATTAACACAGAAATAAGGTTAGACTGTGTACCTGATTATTTTAAAAGAAAAACAAAACAAAACAAACAAACAAAACCCACCTCAAAATATTTTATTCAGTGGAGCATGTTATTTTATTTCTAACATACTGGCTCAAGAGGAAGAATTTTGTCCAGCTAGTTATAGGCAATATGTGCACTTCTCAGTAATTTTTTCAAGTTCAAATCACTCACAGATCAACCCAAATGCAATGAACTCAACATAAATGAAACAACAGGAATGAGGATCATACAGTCTAACAGAGCAGAGAAATTCTCATATCTCGAACATACCTGCAGCATAATTTCAGAATGAAACATTCTCAATTTGGTACAGTTTAAAGAACAAATATGTTTAATGTCTCCTTCTTTTAGGACCGGATTCATGTGATCTGTCACTTGCACTGAATTATTTCTGTTGCAAAAAATGTTTTTAAAATCATTGGAAATGTATATGGAGTCATCAAGGACAGAGGAAAATAATAGCCCAACTGGTCATGTATTCCCTAGAGAGATTCCCGGAGCCAAACTTGCTTTCATTGTTACAGCAGGACCTTTTACATCAGCATGGAGGTGGAGAGAAAAGAGGCAGGATTGTTTTATGGTTCATCCTCTGGCATTGCTGACCTGAGCAGCATGAGCTCTAGCACTGCACACAGGGCACTGCCACACAAACAGCACTATCGACGGTGGGTCCGTCACTGAACATACATTCTCATTCCTAGGACAGAAATGGCACTTCCTTAGAAATGACGAGTAAGAAGGTCACTGCAATATCCTGAAACATGCTGTATCTCACTGGAAAATGGGCTTTGACCTGCTATTTTCTATTTCTAAATATTTGGGGATTTGAAAGTTCAGCCTCAAGCACACATTTATCTATGGCAGTTCAGCTGTCACTTGTAATACAAATCACAGAATGATAGATAGCAGAATCTACCCAGAAGTTCCATTCCTTCCAGGGTTATTCTGTCCACAGTGACCACTTAGCTACATCATCTGCATCTCTTCACTGGCTTTCCTCACCACAAACTATTTTTTTATAAACTAAAACCACATATGTAGATGTATATATATAACATTCATCTTCTATAAAATTTATCTGGTCTTAAACATTTTAGCTGGCAGATTTGTTTATGCGCGCTGTACCTTCTGACATTATCACATTTCCTACTGCCACATGAAAACAGAAAAAAAGACATAGCATCCTTACATTCATCTTATGCTGTACTGCCTGTGTTTCTGTAGACTTAGCTGCAAAGCGTATGTGCAGAAGAAGGGCTGGATGAATATTTGAAAACATTTGTGAGGATATACTGATATTCATTTCTCACTGAATAGATTTCAGCTGTGCTCATGTGCAGTCTCTATGTGCTTATTTCCAGCAAACATGCTAGTAGAAAAATTTACTGGCAGGAATAGCTGTATAATAGTTACAGTTTACACAAATATTTACAGTAAGCAAATTTTCTATATGCAAGTATTCACAGAAAGTTGACTTCTCCAGCAGGAGAAACAGGAGTGGGACTGTCTGTATAGCCAGCCAGAGTAGCTCATGTTTAACTCACAGTACTGAAAACTAGTAGTAATATATTCAGAGCAAAAGAAGGAAGATGAATTACTATTGAAGTGATTACATGATTTCTGAGTTACTTCTAAAGTCCACAAAACTGTAGCTCATAGACTATTTTCAAGCAGGAAGCTATCAAATGAAATGGGTCATTATGCTAAAATTCATCCAGTCCTGCCTTGTATGTTAAATACCCCATGATGTGTGTGTAATTTTCCGGAGTCCAATGAACAAAAACTGGAGAGGCTAATTTACTTATCTTTCAATAAATGGTGCTTCAGCAGTAGCTTCTTTATGCAGAGTTCTAGCCATAGAACGGTCTTTGTTTTCCTTCCACGGTAGTAGCTCAAGTGTGCCTCAGTACTCTCTTGACATAAATTATATTGCAATTATTTCAATCCTTCCAGTTGACAACTGACTTGATCTCCAACATATTCACCTCCCTTGGCTCAGTAACGCTGGCTTTATTGATCCTCTTCTTGGCAGTTGTGGTTTCAGTCATTGCTGCCAATAAAAGGTCGACCCAAGGAACCTACAGCCCCAGCCGGCAGGAGAAGGACGGCGCCCGCGTTGAGATGTGGAGCATTGTACAGCCACCGCCAGTAGAGAGACTCATTTAGGGGAAGGCTCTCCTCCATCTTGGAAGATGAATGGAAGTGGACAATGTACACAAGATAGATATGTTCATTTGCATTCTACTACTGGGAGCACCTGTTGTAAAAACTACAGTGACTTGGAACTTTGAATAATTTCCTTTTAAGTTCAGTAACATTTAAAATGTTCTAGCATTTAAGTGAACCAATGCCATTTATCACTATTTTGGGACATTTTTTCAAAGGACAATTTTTATTTGCACTGGAAACTTCCGCCTTGGTAATCTGCAGTAGGCATTACAGACAGTAATGGCTTCTGTGAAACTCGTAAGTGCCTGTCTCAGACTCAAAATGAGGAACAGTTTCTTGTTTGTGTTTTGCTTTGCCTGCCTAGCAATCACTGCTGCAGAAGACAATGCAGACCCTAATCAATAAAGTCATAATTTTGTTCTTAAAGGGTTTATCACCATAACTGTGTTTCAACATATATGTTGATCAGGGATTAAAAGGAAGCTTGCAAAAACTCTCCAAAATAAGTGTTTCCCATTTGGTTGGTTTTCTTTCCTTCAATTCTATCATTTTCTCTGCTGCCACTCTACCTTCTGCTGAAAAGAATTTCACTTAACCTCTCTGACAAATCCATGTTTCTCTGAATATAAAGGGTATCTCTTAAAATATCCAGCAGACAGAATCTGACCTTACAGAGGACATAAAACCAAAACATCCTAAACAAATTCTGCAAATCTAAATACTGCCATTTTCCCATTATGATATTACTTGATGCGTCATTTTATAAAATGATTGTATCTCATCTTGCCAACATCCTTTGGCTGCCAAAAAGGCAAGTGTGCTCAAAAAGTTTTCCAAAGCTTACAGAAAATACAAGCAGCAGCTTATAGGCAACACACTTACTTAGAAATGAAAGAGTGACTCAGCTCTGAAAACAGCCTTGGTGATTCTCATGGAGTTCAGACTTTCATGTTAACAAGGGAAAATAAATTTTTGTGCCTGAACGTTCCTCTTTTGAGACAGCAATAATACCACTGTAATCCTTGGTAGCAAAATGATTACAACTGCTTGTTGAAAAAGAAACAAATATGTAAAAAGGAGTGGAATAACTGCAAATGTTTGGAAAATATATTGTAATGAAAGAGTCTTGAAAATCTTCAAGAGCATTTAATGATTCGTGGTAGAGAGGAAAGAATGTGCCAAAAATACAATCAGGTTAAGGTTTTCCTGATCTGTAGAGGCAGATAACAGTAACTCATCCAGCCAACTTTCACATGTAGTGAAAAAATTAAAGCAATAAGACATGGCTCCCACACAAATTGAGCCAACAATGAAGAAGCAACAGAGTGGAAACTTCTTTATGGAATTTGTCCTTTCTGCAGCTCAGGTTATCTGTTCCTGCCATTATAAAACATTCCAGGAGTTGCATAATAGAGCACACATACTCAGCATCCAAGAGTTTAAGTGATTGTTTTAACTAATGATCAACTCATAATACATTTTGAATCAACCTCTCTGGGGACTACAGAATATCAATGTCAATCACATTTACTTCCTTATTAGCTCTGATCAGTAACTCTGACAATAAGCACATTCTGGATTTCTGCAGTCTTTCAAAACAAGGCACTATAGTAAAATGAGAGTGGATGGTGGGATTCAAATTGAGTGAGAAGAACAGGGTGCTAAGGTTGGAATGACATGACAGCATGAATGCACAACAGATTTTACTTGAGTCCAGTTTACAGCTTTACTATTGAAGCTTATGATTTTGAATGCAAGCACTGCTGTATAACTGCAGTTTAAATCCACAGTGCAAATAGCAACTAAGTAAAGAAAGAAAGTCAACAAAAGTTAACAAAATAGTTTATAAGTTAACAAAAAATATCATGGTAAAAGAGAGAGATTCAAGGAAGTTCTTTTGAAATATGGCGTTATATAAGAATGGCTGCAAATCTTTTAGTCAAAAATCAGCCCAGCATTTTCCCACTACTAAGGAATAATAAGGAATGCTATAAAGTTTGTGCAGCATTATCATTTCTTGAAGTGGATATATATTTGAAAAAAGAAGAGCTGGACTCTAAGAGTATACAACAAGAAAGACAGCAAAGAACTATGTTTGAGGATGTGTAGTGAAGCGGGAATATTTTGTACAGATACTTACACGTGTGATTGAAGCTCACCAAAAAAAGCTACAAGGGATACAAAGTCAAAGCAACTTTCCAGATGGTGAAGATGCATCATAAGCTGTGGGAACAAGAGTGTGAAAAAGAAGGGGAAAAAAGAGATGGAAGGGTCTGAGGAGAGAGCGCTTGGAAAGTGAGGGGGAATCTAGAAGTAGGAATTGGGAGCAAAGAGCAGCAGTGGCTTTGGAACAGTAAGGCAGATGCACAGAATGTGCTTCCACATATTTGCTTTATATTCCTGAATTTCTGTTCAATGATAATGGCTGTATAGGCTAAAAGGAGGAAAAAAAATGATAAAGATTTTCAAGTGAATAGCAGAGATGGGAAAAGAAAATAGAAGTGAAAGCAGTGGAGGGATGTAATGAAGATCTAACTTTGAAATCAACCCTTCTTTGAGCAGGAGGTTAGAGTAGATGACCTCAAGAGGCTTCTTCCAGCCTAAATTGTTACACAATTCAAAGAAAAAGGACAACAGAGAGAAAGCAGCTGAAGATGGAGGTCAGTCTGCATGAAGAGCTAATGTGAAGGAAAGCGTTATTGTTCACAGTGAAAGACACAGCAAGGAGGAGGAAGTGGCTGGAAACTCATTCTGCTCTGCTCAGTGGATGGACTTTCTGGATGAAATCTTGAAAACAGTGGGAAAACAATCTGTAATAACACATTCAGGAAAGCGTTATCACACAGAGAATCTCCAGGGCTGAGAAAGATACGCAGCAAAGGGTACAGGGAGGGGAAGAGAAGGAAGATGAAAGCCTGAAGAGTTTTCATAAAGACCAAAGAGAGTTCTGGAGAAATACATTACAAAAGAATTTAAAAAGCACAAAAATTGGAAAATTCTCACCGTGGAACATGAACGTGGTTTGTAGAAGGAAAATCAAGAAGGGAGAAAGCAAGAGGAAAAACCCTTAAACTAGGATTTGAATAAGTCAGGTGTGACTGACGTCTGTCTCAGTGGAGGGGAAATAGTGAAAATGGGAATGATGAAAATTTTTGCAGAAGTAAGAGGAAAAAGGGAATGAAAGCAGATGACACTTGAGGAAAGTGAAGGCAAAAGCTGGATCACAGTCTTTCCAGTACAACAAGGGTAAAGCTGGGCGTTCGTTACAGTGAGGTCATGGAAGAGGGATGGAGAGGTTGATGGAGAGTCAGGAAATGAGATCTACCCAGTAAGGCAGATCTATGTAGGATAAATTAGAAGGAGTGACTTCTATTGAAAGTGGAAATTAAAATGTGAAATTAATTGTTATTTATGATCTTAAGAGAAACAAACAAGAAAAAGCCCCAGCAGCACAAATTCTGTTCTAAATGTACTTTTTGAAAAACTGAATTAGAGAACAGCACTCCAAGAAGGGCAGGGAGTCAGACTCTGCAGTTGGAAAAGTCTCACAGCACCTGGAGAAGCAGAAAAAAAATCCCAAAGCTGTGGCTACTTAGCAAGCTGGAGTGACAACAGTGAAAAAGCCTGACCCTTTTGGGCCACATTTCAGCCAAGAAACAACAGTTAAAACAAAGGGGAATATACCACAGAGAGTGTCTAATAGAATTTTTGCTGAAATTTCAACCAAGGATTAAGCAGGTGCCAAGCTATTTACTGCTTCTCAGTCTGGGTGTATATTAAAATACATAGTGAAGCACACAAGGAGGAGCAATAACATCTAAGAGTCATTGAGAGCACCTGCAACTCCACATAAAGACCTAAAGTATTTCGAGATTTTCTAAATATCTCTATTTGATTCAAAAGGCATAAGTAAAAGAACTTGTTCATAATCACTTGCAGCCTATCCATTCAGGAAACAAATGCATAACATGGTCCCAAACCTTACACATTTTAATTTTCTCTTTATGTCTACCAGTCTTTTGTAAAGGAAAAGGTGCTAAATTAAAGCATGTGACCTGCTCTGTGCCATGTCCCTCTGAAGATGCACAGAAGCATGGAGAGAATTAAGCAACTGACTCCTCCCTTCTTTCACAGTCCCTCCTGTTTCCTCTTCAAAAGCTGTGACACCCAGCCTGTGAAGCAGCAAGGAGAGCCTTCAGACAGTTAGAGGAAAGTTTATGTTAGAAAGAATATAAATACTGTGGCTGCAATTTGGCCAGCTACAAATGATCACTGTGTATTATTATGTTATGTGCCTTCTCTCCATTTTATGTAAAATTAACTGTTCCTTCTCCACGTGTACATAGTATATTTATAGCTTAGGTGGTGTATATTACTACGTTCTGTGTACAATATAAAAATGACTAATAAATAAGGATTATATTGAGCCCCACGTGACCTATATTTTTTGTTTTATGAGTTTATTTAATCACGTACTTACAAAGGAAATTATTCTCACACCAGGACTATATTTGCAATTTTTAAAGTTCAATTTGCAGTTTGGAATCAAGTGATCAAGAAATATTTTCCCTACACAGAAATGAGGTGAACGTGCTTTGTGTCTCAGAGAACAGGAACTGCCCCCATTCTGTGTCGGCATCTGCACCACTGCCAGCATTGTGTTCATCCCAGGAAGAGGCACTGTGCCACAGCCCAGGGTGGCATGGATCAAAACAGCTTGCACAGAGCTAATTTACACAAGCCAAGATTCTCGTGCTCTGGGTTTTGTTGTTTCTTTTTTCTTGCTGTACTTCAAGCTCCCCTGCATCCAAACCTGCAGTGGCCCCAATTGCTCTGCTCTGTTCTATGAGCTATGTTACACACCACTACTTGTTTATAACTAACTGAAATAATATTTTGTTCTTCAGAAGTTTGAATAAAACTATACTTTTGTTCAAATGCACAAGTTATTGTGAGAGTGAGTACTCAAGTACGTCAAGTCGAGAAGTTTAAATCAGCAGTACTCCTTAAAGCCTGAACTGGAGAAACTCTCAAAGCTAATGTTCGTGCTTTGCCAATATTTTAGTAGCTGGACACAGAAAAACTTTGCTCTCCCAAGCAATTAACACTGTCAGCCGTAACTGAGCCTGCAGGCTTTTACAGAGGAAGCATTGCTTTTCTGTACTTTCTTGAAAACGAACGCTAACACCAAGTGAAGTGGTGCTGAAGTCTGGCTAGTGACTGTTGCTCAAACAGACGCTATTTGATAATGAACATAATCAAAGTTACAGTTTTAATTAAAGAACATAAGTGATACACTTTTAAAACAACCTTAATAGTGCAGGCCCACAGCAGAAAGCTTGTCTTCAGAGAGGAGGCAGCCAAGTCTTTTTTCCAGCCAAAAATTTCTGAGCTGTGTTTTGTATAACTTAAGCCCCAAGTCTCTTACAAGTCTCAGGGCAGGACAAGTCTTACATTTGTGGTGTCACATAATGTCAGGAATCACAAATTGGAGAATTTTGGTGAAGTTCCTTTTCCTATTCTATTCAGTCACCTCACAGCTAAGGAAAACTGACTCCTTTGAAAACAACTTGAAACCAGAGACGTCGTAAGTCAATAAAGTCAAACGAGGAGTAGCTGCCAACGCTGAAATTTTGCCTATTGCAAAACATCACAGATGGATGAGTGGATGGGGCTTTCCTGCCACAATGAAGCACGCGTAGGCTTCAAACTACAGGCATGTGTAAAGATAGAGCAAAACCTAACATTTATAAAACATACATCTGGTGTGTATTTACAGGGAGCAGAGTAAGGTCTTGTTGAAATTGCACACATGAATTTGATGTGGATAATGTCTGATACCCTACGCCTCACAGTAAAAGCATGCTTTAACCTAAGCCCCTCCATCTATAATGCATGCCATGAGGTGCGAAGGCCTCTTGCACATAGAAAAGTCAGAGTATGAATTATGAATCGAGGCACAGGTGGAGTCCTAAAGGCCAAACAGAGTTCTCACCTCAGTGGTGATTTTTTCTGGGTTTAGGTTCTTTCAAATTATATTTATGGAATAAAAATGTATTGGCGATTTTATACTGTAACCAATTTGAGCAACTTTTGGTTGTATTTTTGGTTGGTTTCACAGAAGTTGCTTTTCAGTTCTCTTTTTATTGGGCTGAAGGTTTTCTTTCCCTGAGATTGTTTGGCAAAGCTATTATATTTATCAGCAGTTCATCTAACGGTGTCAGATACCAGCAAGACTGGCACGTCCCAGTCATAACTTTAAATCATCTTTTTTGATCACAGAAAAACTACACAGGCCTTCATCTGGTTTTACGCTCTTCACGGTGCTGTTTAAAGCATGACATTTTTCTTAGCTCAATATTGTGCATGACCTTTCCGATTTCCCCCGTAGTTTCAGCAAAAGCGCAATTTTCATTGGCATGTATTGTAATAAATAGCGATGACAAAAATGTGTGTTTCCAATTTAAAGCCACTTAGTTTCATTTGGCACCTGGTGCTCGGCTTTACATTGCGATAGAAATTCAAAAACGTTGACAGCAACATAGGCATGGGAGGAGTGGGAGCAGACCGACATGGTGGCTCCATGCGGCCATCTTTGCTCAGTGCACCCACTAGGCCTGCCAGTCTTTCTGTAACTGAGCATGGTGACACCTTCCTTCCTTTAAGCATAAGCCTTTGATGCATAGCTGAACTCAGCAAGCATTTTCAGAATGAGCTGACCCAGCATCATGCATATTCAGTGGGAACCCCAGCAAAAGGAAAGCTGTCAGGGCTTTCTGCTTGAGAACTGTGCCCGAAAGGGAAGATGCAGATCTGTCCTTTAGCTATGCTACTCTGTATTATGGCCCATTGCCAGCAAAAGTGAATAAACCAGCCCGAGCCAAGATCATCCCAGTCCAAAACTATGGGTAATGGTGGATACCGTCCAGGAAAATACATGGCCGTACCCAGGATCTGCACTGACATGATCAGGTCCTATTTGTCACTCATACCTGAGACGAATTTTTCTAATATAGTCTGAGATCTAGAAATGGATTTTCAAATTTTCCAACACCAGGGAGAAAAGAAATAAGGAGAAAATAAACCAATTACACAAGTACTGGTCTGTTGACATTTAAAATGAGACAATGATGAGCATAAAAAATGGTTAAAAAAAAAATATCCTTGGCCAGCAACCCAAAGGACCAAAGACAAATCACAGAATAGGATGCAACTAATTAGGCTGAAATGCCAACAATGTTCAGGGCATCGTTCAAAGTATCCACAGTGTCAGACTGCTGCCATGACCCCCACTTCAAATATGCCAAGGGGAAAAGCAGGAAAGGGCTGAATCAGATAAGTTAAATACAAATATATTAAAATGACATTTTAGCTCTACCTCGCCATTTTAACATTTTCAAAATTGTTAAATAAGCATGTCGCCTTTTCTCAGATCAGGCCAAATGTCAGGCGTTTGTATGTATTATTCAGCTGAACATCTTAAGTACATAATCTTTCCCACTGCTAAACAGGTGGTACTATGTTAGCGGGTAATTTTCTTAAAAGGAACAGTGAATACAGAATTGCTGATGCTACAGAATGTGATATTACTGAATGCAGAGCCAGTGCTAGTAGAGAGCTGAACTGGGGATTGCAGGGATCCGCAATTTTCTACTGTATCTCTGACTGTTAAGGCTCACTGCAAGTCATTTTCACAGTTTCAGAAGTCATCTACCACACTTTAGTTTGAATAATCAAAGTTGAAATTCTTTCTAAAAAAAAAAAAGATCTGGTCTCCACTTTAGCCTTTGACCCACTCAGGCTTCCTATCCTGATGCACACAATCAAGCTTTAGCATGCTCATAACCCAGAAGAGTTTAAATCTGCTCTGCCACCATGTTTTACACTCTCTTGCATTGCCTTCATTAGCACAATTCTCTGCCCTTAGACGGGGCCATGGTCTGCCCCACAGAGCACCCACATAAAAGACATAGAGCTCACATTCCTCCCCCCCCCCGTCCTCTCCCCTCACAGTGCTTGCCCATGTTCATGGCTCTGCAGTAGACTTCTTCACCTGGCACTGTAGATCTCAGCCCGCAATGCTTCTTCATTGCCCAGGCTGCCCTACTGTTCTTCACCATCTTTATCTGCACTCTGCCAGCTGCTCAATCTGGTGCTTCATGGTCATTCTTCAGCCTTTCCACCACATTTTCTCCCTCTCAGCAGCTGATATGCAAGAGGTCAACTGGCCACTTTGATCATGCGACTCCCTCATAACACTCAATACGTCTAACTCAATTTTGTTTTGTTTTTCATGAATGTCTGAACTTCAAGCAGTACTCTCGCACTCATAGATGCACGTGAGCATGCACAAACATTCCTCTTTATCATTCAGGAAACATATTAAGACAAACCAAAGGTGACAAATTTGAAGTTACTTAATGCTGCTATAAAAACACTCACCTTGGGAGTGTGTGAGTTGAGCTCTTCCAGGAACTGTGCATACCTGAAAAACAAACTTCTGTTGACAAACTTCTGTTGTGTTTGGACTATACATGTCCATGATACTGAGTACTTTGTAGGACTTAGCAGTTAAAAATAGATAACGAAGCTGAAAGGAAAAAAAAGCCGGTGTTCAGTAGGTGTTTTTGTAGCCCATGTTTTCCCTTTAGTTTTCAGTATTTTTGTTGGGTTTTGTCCTTGCACTGTTCCCAGACTTGTGACAATTACCTGTGGGTAGACTTGAAAAAGAAAATGAGAGAAGCAGTATGCTGCCAGGACTCTAGCCCTTCAACTTGCAGAAGAAACATGAGATAGGCAGCAATGGAAAGGAAATGATATACAGCCCACAGCATTCTCCAAATGTAGTTCCCAGGCTTCCCTCTAAGAACAAGTACTTGTTTATGTTTTATATAGAATTTGTAACAGGATTTGGGTTTTAAAGCTTAAGAAGGAAGCTGCTGGCTTTCTTTTCTGATTGATGAAAATCTACAGACTGACTCTACTTTCCTTTAGCTGAATACCAGTGAACCCACAACATAACTTCAGGCATTGAAAAGGTTTTGTTGTTGTTACCGCTTGTCACATCAAATAAAAATCTAAATTCATGAATTTGATAAAGTTACTTTTTCTTTTGTGAACACGAAGCTAACACATAATGAGTTTGGGAAAGAAAATGAAATGCTTTGTCTACCATCCTGGTATGGCTGCAGCACTGCTGCATAAATGTATCTTGCAAAAGCTGCCTTTGGAGCATAAGAAGCAGAGAAATCACTAGTGGAGAGAAGCGTTTATGACTTCTTCTCTTAATCCAGTCCCAAACGTGACAGTACTTGGAGCTGCATTTTTCTCCCAAATGCCACAACTCTTCGCATGATACCAACTTTCATATTCGTGGTGGTCGTGTGCAACTTACACCAAAAAGACCTCTGAAGTAGTTCATTTTTC